TTAACTTCAGGCAGGCGGATTATGTTGCACAGTCCAGTTCAGTGACTACCTCCGCAACTGATATGTGGCTGTATTTTTGCTGAGATCATCACCTTCAGCCATGATGTAGCAGTATCTGATATCCTGTTTTCATGAAGCTATTGGCTGGAGCACTAATCTCTATTTCCTTGGCATAAGCCACTAGTGTCTTATATGAATGGATGAATCGATAGTAGCCATGTTTGTAGTCTCTTGTTTCATTCCCACAGAGTGACACCAATTTCTCAACATTGGAAAGAGGAAAAGCGGGTGATCTCGATCACGGCTCAAACTCGGTACAACTCAGTTATGAATCTGACACTCTACCGACTGATCAACCCGAGACAACGATTGAAACTCACCCATGTCACAGAGTCTTCCGTGGTAATCTTTGCTGCAGGTGCAGCCATATCCAGAACCGCTGACGTCGCAACTGCCGCCGTTCACGCAGACATCGCCGATATCTATAAGTACACGAAGAACGCATGAACCGAGTCCAGCATCCTCAATTGATTTAGTACCGATTGGACAGCCGCAGAATTCGCTGTGGCTAGAACCAATAAGTGGACAGTTGTTTCCGCAAGAACAGGTTTCCGACAAGTGCTTCATATCGTAGGCGGCCGCACAGGTTCCCGGAGAGCAAAATGTTGTATTGCACGCGTTGTCTCCTGTACTAGTCACCGGTGAACAGAAATCTTCGCAACATCATCCACCGCGGTACGCGAATAGCATATATAATGTTACTGTATGTTTCAAGGTCTATTCTTGAACAGGCTTTCGTCCTTCAGTGGATAAGAAATGGCTGACGACGGCTATGGCTAAAGTCTGTGAAGAATTTTTCTCCACAGTCAAACATTTGTGTTCTAGTGACAGTGAGCAGACAAAAAACGATCATTCGAAATGGAAAACTGCAATGGACGACTTGCCCATTTTCCAAGACCCGGCATTGTCATACCAGCCTTAAGAAGGCATCGTCGACACCCCTGCAAAGGCTATCGACATTAACAGTAGGAAAATAAAGCAACCCTGGGTCACAACATAAACCTTGGTAGCTAATAGAAACGGGCAACGAGAATACTGCAAAGAGGTACGGAAGAAGCCGAGGAATGCCATGAAAAGCACAGAAGAATTCGAAGAGCTGGAGAGAAGGCTGAAGATGGGTGAGCGAGATATCTGCGTAAAAAGTGGATTCCGAGTTTTGCTCAAAGTCGAAGATCTAACGGGAACCAGCAATCGCAATCGAATGAACGCGATCTGCCATAAGTTCTACAACAAACTTTATTCTTCAAAAGCAGGCGTAAATCAGAAGTTGACCCACGTTGCCCCAAAAGCAGTTTGCGAACCCATATGGGACAAAGTTGAGAGTGCATTGTGAAAAAACACAAATAGCAAATGTCTAGGCAAAGATGAGATAAAGCCAGTGCATTTTGAAGCAGTAAGAGCAATTCTATTCAAAGCGCTTGCCAAACGTATTGCGGAATATATCTTACGAAGAAGGCAACTCTATAGACCTCAAGAACTGTTGAACCAATTACACTCCTCTCGCAAATCTACAAAATCATTGCGAGCATCATCCTCAACAGTACTCAGAAAGACCGCAGGAAGGAACTGGCCCGTGTTTTAACGGTTTTCTACTAACGGTCGTGCATACGTCCTCAAACAGCCGACGGAGAGGTACAACAAATATCAAGTGTCACTCAGTTTTGCCTTCATCGACTACAAGAAGAAATTCGAATTGACAGAATTGACGGAAGTTTGTTTAGGTAAACATGGTCACGGAATTGA